TTTAAAATACACTATTAAATAGTTCAGGGGGTAAAAAATACGGTATTAAATAGTCTAGGGAGGTAATAGGTCCTCATGAAAGTTTAGTATCGCAACAGCAAATTCGACCAAAATTGGGATATTTTTCATATCCTTATCCCAAAAAATTACGGTCAAAGTTAGACTTGTTTGAGTCTCAAAATCCAAAAAAGTGTCACATAAATTGAGACAGAGGAAGTATTATAATATTCATATATTTTTTTGTTCATGATTATATGTGTTTAAACATCTGGTGAAAAATTGACGTTTTCAAAAATAAAATAGCGTAATCAACTTAGCTCATTGAGATTTCTCTGCTCTAAATTGAAGTTCTTGAGAATAGAAAGAGATCTTTTTAGGAGCGATCGTTCTCATAGATGAGCCGTGCAATATGCAAATTCAAATTCAATCAAATTTTAATGTAGATATCAAACATCGAATAAAAAAAAAGTCAAAAAAACAATAGTGTTGTTTTTGTCGATTGTCATCAATCAATGCATGCCTTCTTTATTTTATGATAATATGCTTTGGATTCCAACTTTAAAATTATAAAATACTAATTTAGATTTTTAGTAAAGGACATATATGAGAATTTCACATCACATAAATAGTACGACAATTATTTTTATTAAAAGGCATACGAAGTTTCCTCAACTAAAATTGTGATTTAAAAAATATATATTTGTTGCCATGAAGTAGCGTTGAATTATAGAAAAAATCTTATTACTTGTGGACTATTTAGTTACAAATTAACATATGCTTTTTTTAATAACCGCCTCTTTACCTTTTTTCAAAAAAATAATCATATGATATTTCGTGTTAAGTCCCCCCATCAGTTGTAGGATGTGAAATTGATTTTATTTTTTTTTGAAAATTCTTTAAATAGAGCTATTTGTGGTCAAAATTATGAATATAGTGAGATTTTGCTTAATTATGAAACATATTAGTATTTTAATTTTAAAATGTAGCAGAATACACAGTATTTGTGCTCATAATAATCGTGAAATACATTATATCCACGCACACAACAATAGTGATATACATTGTATAAGCGCATGTATAGTGGCGTAGCCACCTTTATTCGTCGGAAAATTATATCGTATATACAAGTAAAATGATAAACAAAGTGGCTAAATAACATATTTTGAACACCCTTGACACAACAATATGATGTAGCCTAGTGGTTTTAGGTACCTTGAAAGTGTAAAGACACAAAATTAATGTGTTCGTGTGTTCGAATCTCACTAGTAGCAATTTTTTTCCCACTTTTTAAGAAGAGCAGGTTCACTTTTAGACACCTTTCATGAAATTTCTGGCTCCGCCACTGCACATGTAATAAGTATACTCTTCCTAACTATATAGCAGGTTCACTTTTAGACACCTTTCATGAAATTTCTGGCTCCCCATACAAATAATAAGTATATCTCTTCCTAACTATATCCATACAAATAATAAGTAAATTCACAAATATCTATTATAAAACCCCAAATTATCACTATATTATATAAAATTTTAAAACTACCACTATTTAAGGAAAATATAAGGCCTTAGTTTATTGTGTCATTTAATTTTTATATAAGTTTACCTAATTGTTGGACACTTGGACTCCATATTATGCAATTTGCAGGTCTTGACATGCAAAGGAATGTTTAATTGTCGAATCATAATTTAGTAAATAAAAATATATATTTGATCAACAAAACTTCAAATTTTAGAACACTACTTATTATCAAAAAGAATTTTCACTTATCATTGCACACTTATTAAAAATCACTCGATACAAGGCGGAGCAATTAGTACATGCTCCTTATTTACCAGTAGATAAAAAAATAAGAAAAAAAAAAACATAGCTAGGAATTAGCATTATAAATCAATAAGTCCCTAGTCATGTTATACAATTCTTAAAAATTCAACCTGACTTCTAAAACGAAAGTATTGAACATAGGCAAGGAAGAACTCCACAACTTCACTATTTTCGCATTTCTCTCCTCATGAGTTCAACCATCCAAAACGAAAGGAAAATCAGGTTAGGAAATAACTTGTAAGTCGTTCGATTTGAATCCATCCATCATTAATCCAGGACTCAATCTAAACATGAGTGAACAAAACTCCATTTGATTGAGAGCTCCATCTCCATCCAAATCTCCTTCAATCAACATGCAAAGAAGTTCATCATCTTTCAATTCACTCAATCCCATCAATAATGTGTTCCTTTTCAAGCTTTCAAATGTGATGAGCCCTATACTTACATCCATTAGCAAGCAAAAACCATTGTATAGTTCTTCCATGAACATTTCAACCCCCAATGTATCAATCATTGAAGGAAAATAATCTTCAAAACCAAAAGGGTCCTCATAATCAACCGCGTCCATGCATGAGATCATAGCTGATGGCGTTAGAAATTCTGACAAGAGAATGAGTTGAAATTACATAAGTATGTCATGTCTGACGAATTTAGGTATTCTGACAAGTGAAATTACAAATAATACAAGAATGTCACACTTGAGATTTGAGCAGAGTTGAAAATTCTAACAAGGAAGATAAAATAATGCAAGAACGTCACATTTAATAAGATTTAAGCAAAGTTGAAAATTCTAACAAGGGAAGATAAAATAATGCAAGAACGTCACACTTGATAAGATTTGAGCATAGTTAAAAATTCTAACTAGGGAAGTTAAAATAATGCAAGAACGTCACACTTAATAAGATTTGAGTAAAGTTGAAAATTATGACAAAGGAAGTTAATATAATGCAAAAACGTTACACTTAACAAGATTTGAGCAGAGTTGAAAATTCTGACAAAGGAAGGTAAAATAATGCAAGAACGTCACACTTGATGAGATTTGAGCAGAGTTAAAAATTCTAACAAGGGAAACGCTACACTTAATAAGATTTGAGTAAAGTTGAAAATTCTGACAAAGAAAGTTAAAATAATGCAAGAACGCTACACTTAATACGATTTGAGTAAATTTGAAAATTCATGCAAGAAAAGTTAAAATAATACAAAAACGTCACACTTAACAAGATTTAAGTAGAGTTGAAAATTCTGACAAAGAAAGGTAAAATAATGCAAGAATGTCACCTTTTACCTCTGCAATAAAAGCTTCCCTTGTGTCAAACTTGAAATTTGAACTGATTGAGTTTTCTACAAAAAAATAAGAAAAGAAAAGTGATGCAACCCAACACCTTTTACTATACTGCAAAAGCTTCCCTTATGTCAATAGAAATTTTTTTTCTTGGCCCTTTTTGCATTAAACGTGTTGCAATCACCTCGATAAATGTGAGAGCCAATGTAAAAGTAGTCCTTTGCGCAGCGAAAGAGATGGTGGAAAATATACTATGTATTGTGAATGATTAAATTTGTTGTTACCAACCTCAGGATAATAGTACGAGAATATGATAATTATATTTATATATGTTATATTTTGTTGGTTATAATTGGTAAAAGTTCACCTTCCTGGAAGTTACATGGAAATTAGAGGAATCATAAATCATTTGAAAACAAAAATTGTCTTGTGATAAAAAAGAAAAATAGTTTGTTTTTTAATTTTTAGTGAGTTTTTTGTACTGAATCATTCTTTTCTTGTCTTGTTTTTTTCGATTAATTCAAGATGATAAAGATGTTTGTGGACAAACTTATATTGGTCCCTCACTTATAATGGAAGCAGAACGAATCCGAAAAAGATTATATTATTGTGATTTGAATTATTTTGCATCGATATAAAGTTGAAATCTAAGAAATCATGGATCAACATATACATGCATTGATAGTAATGACAGAATTAGAAAACTTTTTAAAGAAGTGTCACAATATAAAAACAGTAGACAAAAAAAATAATGAGAGTTAATATGTAGTATACATACATAAAATAAAAAATTTGCTTAGTTAAATAGTGTAATTTTTTTGACTGGTTGACTATACAAAAATTATTTATGTTATTAATCAGGTTAATTTGTTAAGTAGTTAAAGACAATTAATAGAGTTGATTACTAGGATGTCTTGACCAGCTTGCACGCACACACACAACTCAACTAATTTCACATGGCATGCATCTGGTTCCTCCCACTAACATAAATATGAGATAACTCTATTCGGTGAGACTTGGATAAATAAGAAAAAATTAATCATACCGTGTTTAAGTAGATTCATGGTGTCTTTAATTGAACAAAGTGACCATGAAACTAACTGAAATATGAACTCACAAATTAGAAGGCAACTTGTGACACGTAGGTCCATTTTTCAATTTGTGCGTATTATTCTTGTCGATATCTCTAAAAAGACTACTTGTGACACTTAGGGACACGGAGTAAAATAACCATAATTAGCTTTTTCTGTATCGTTTTAATTTTATCAAATACTCCCTCCGTCCCTTTTTACTTGTCCATATTTTCTTTTTAGATGTCCCTATTTACTTGTCCATTTTGACAAATCAAGAAAAGACAACAAATTTTTTCCTATTATACCCTTATTTCCCTCCAATTTATTTCACTTGAATTCAAAGAAGTGGTTGTAATTTTGAAATGAAAAGTTGTCATAAGGGTAAAATTGTAACTTCACTGTGCTAATCATTGTTGCCTTAATCTGTGTGCCATTTCTAAAGTGGACAACTAAAAAGGGACGGAGGGAGTATCCCCGAAGAGACTACTTGTGACACTTAGGGACACGGATTAAATTATCCATAATTAGCTTTTCTGTATCGTTTTAATTTTATCAAATACTCCCTCCGTCCCTTTTTACTTGTCCATATTTTCTTTTTAGATGTCCCTATTACTTGTCCATTTTGACAAATCAAGAAAAGACAACAAATTTTTTCCTATTATACCCTTATTTCCCTCCAATTTATTTCACTTGAATTCAAAGAAGTGGTTGTAATTTTGAAATGAAAAGTTGTCATAAGGGTAAAATTGTAACTTCACTGTGCTAATCATTGTTGCCTTAATCTGTGTGCCATTTCTAAAGTGGACAACTAAAAAGGGACGGAGGGAGTATCCCCGAAGAGACTACTTGTGACACGACATGTACGATGTGATCATTTTTGCCTTTTTTTTTTTTGAAAGGACAAGTTAATAGAATATCTAAATAGTAAAGATTCCCTAGCACAAACTTCTAAAAAATGGATTGGACAAGACATCATCATTAACCACTATAGTGTAATTAAACGTCTCGAGTTTGAGTATTGAGAAAAAAAATCATTTTTAATATGCAGTGCTTTAAAGTTAGATTTATTCCGTACTATTGATCCTTTGGTAGGGAGTACATTACTTTTAAGATGAGACTTTAATTATTTGATGCAATTAATTAAATCGAATCAGTCAAACTTCAAAATGAATATCGAACACCAGATAGGAACCAGAAAACGATTGAATAAGAGATAGGGTACCACATCAGGGTCAGAATTTCCCTAGTCATAAATGGAAGCTTCATTGAGGCTTCCTCCATGATGCATTTTTCTAAATAAAAAAACATGTGCTTGCTCCTTGTATAAGTGGATGACAAAAATTATTTCGTGATTTTTGTCTCTGTTGAGTTTTAAATATTTTAAATTTTGAACAGTTGAAAAATACTTACTCGTATCAATATTTACATCACATTACTTTACAAGAGTTAAATGATAAGTTAAGCCATAACTACATATTAATTAATCATGATTGAGTTATAAAATTGTATATAAAATACACTTGTCTTGTAAGTGAGTAAATTTTTTTCCATATGAAAGGTATTGAATTTATTTTTTCCTGGTCACACGACTGCAACTCTGTTTCTCCAAGACATCGCCTCTAAAAAATGATTAAAACAAAAAAAAAACAATTTAATACACTAAGCTCTTACTATGCACATAATCCAAAATAAAATCGAACACCGAACCATATTAAGTCGAATGCACCTAGTATTGCTTTGCATTTCTACAAAAGAATGTTTCCATAATTTTTAATTTTTAATCTTCTAGTCACAGGACTACTACTCATACCATTGCTCCAAAAAATCCCTTTTCTAAAAGATAATTAAACAATGATGAAAAGGTAAAAAAAAAAAAAGAAGACAAATTTACAGATTCAATTCATATTTCTTAGTAGCACATGGACTTGGTTGAAGGTAACTAGAATTTGTGATCTTTCTATAAAACTAGATATTCGTGCAGTTAGTTGAAGGTTGAGTTGTTAATTACCTAGAGAAGGATCAATTTTCACCAAATATACTTTTTTCTTTTGCGATCAGTCTACACGCCCTTCAATTAATTTCATAAAGTACACGCAAGTCTGTTATCTTTCACTAGCGTAAGTATAAGGTAACTCTATCTATTAAAACTTAAACATATATAAAGAGCTCACCTAATATTTTCGTCTTCAAAAAAAATTTAAACGTCAAGATTTTATAATTTTTCTTTAACTCACTTCATTGATTAGAGCTTTTCTTCCAACATAACTGACAGAATTAATAAAAAATATATTCAATTGAACAAAATTGACCATAAACTAACTGAAATTTTAACTCACATAAATTGGGAATGTAACTTCTGACACTTTGAGAATTGGGACAATGAATAAAATGAGAATTTTTTTGTTTTCAACAGATAAACACTGAAGATTCCCTGGAACAAACTTCTAAAAAGGATTTGACAAGACATCACCATAAACCACCAAGTAATTAAACGTTTCGGGTTTGAGTTTTCAAAAAAATAATCATTTGTAATATGTATAGTTTTATTCCTACACAGGGCTTGTCTGGTATGATTGATCATTTGATAAGGAGTACATTACTTTTCTAAGTCGAATTAGTTAAATACCAAAATAGATATCAAACATCAGATAAATAATAGAAAACGATTGAACAAGAAATCCATTTTCTAAGGTTCATACATTCCATTATTAGGGTCTAACTTTCATCATTTAAAAGTTGAAGTTCATTGAGGCTTCCTCCATGATTAATTTACTAGGGTTAAATGATAGGTTAAGATATAACCATATATTAATTAACCATGGTTAAGTTATAAAATTGTATATAAAAGACATTTGTAGAGTACGTAATGTTTGACATAAATATCGAGTGTGAGTAAAAAAAAAAAGTCTATATGAAAGGTTAGTTAGAATTTTTTTCCTTGTCACACAACCACCACAACTCTTAACGTTGCTTTAAGATATCGCCTCAAGAATCATAAATCATTTGAAAAATTTGTATGGTAATAAAATGTAGGCATAATAAATGAATATGCCATTTAATTTAGTTTAAATTGACATTTATGCATATATAAACATTAAAATTTGTATAAAATTAAATAAATAGACACATCGTCCTATATGACATCATACATGACAATTTTGTGTCCTATGCGGCAATTTATGTATGTTATGTCACGTTGAACGTGTGTATCTACTTATTTAATTTTGTACAAATTTAAGTCTGTATTTATGCACACTCAAAATTTAAATGTATATATTTATGTTAAGTCAAGTTAAAAAATATATTTACGTATTATGCCTAAAATATCAGAGTACTAGTTTTTGAGTGACTGGTTTGTGCTGAATTATTTTTTTTTTCCTTTTTCTGTTTCAAATGATAAAGATGTTTGTGGACTATGGTAGAAGTTATATGGGTCCTTGACAGTATGGTGGGGGCAAATTTGGAAAGATTGTCTCAACTCGGGAACGTAAAGTTGGAATCCCTAGTAATCATGAATCAACAAGCACATTCTAGGACAACTCATGTTGCAGCTAATAGGTAGATTTTAAATATATTTATTGACGGTATGAATAATATTTATATAATCAAATCATTTTTAAGTATTTAAAGACAATTAATATACTCCCTCCGTCCCTATTTACTTGTCCATATTTTCTCTTTTAGATGTCCCTATTTACTTGTCCATTTTGACAAATCAAGAAAGGACAAATTTTTTTTCCTATTATACCCTCATTTAAACTTCTTGAAAATTTAAACTTCCCCCAACATTGATTAGTTATCTTGAATAAATTTATTTTGGAATCATAATTAATAAGGGCAAAATTGTAACTTCATTATGCTAATCATTGTTGCCTTAATATGTGTGTCATTTCTAAAGTGGACAACTAAATAGGGACGGAGGTAGTAGTTGATTAGAGCTATACTAGATATGGAAATTCGTGCTAGCACTGATCCAATATATGTTATTTTTTCAGTTTCAATTTATGTAATACAACTAAAATATGGAGAATCATCCAAATCTTTATATGACTTTTAACTATCCTAAATTGTTTATTATTGTAATTTATAGTACTTTCCTTTACATAATTGTCAAATAATATATCTTACTCCTTATGTCGTAATTTATGTGGCACAAATGAAATTTCAAAAGTTAATCAAAATTTTATATATTTTCCATACATTTAAAGTTGTTAGTTATTATGATTTATAGTGGGTTAAATAATATATGTTACATTTTGTCCACAATTTATGTCACACCTTTAGAGTTTCGAGAATCAATTGAATTTTTTATGTAATTTAAATATTTTAAGTTGTTAATTATCGAGATTTCTAGGACTTTTACGTAATTTCCAAAATATCCAAAAGACTAAAAAATAAGATAAATAAATTAAAACAAAAATAAAATACAAAACTTACATAAATGCCTTGACTAGTCGTAGACAGGTCGATCGAGAGGTACCTGCTTCTAAACTTCTCTATATAGTAAAAAAAATATTATTTGTATCAACTAGAACGCCTTTGATTAATTTTATGAGCTACTTGCTTCGTTCCACCAATGTAACACAAGTACGGGGTAACTTTATACATGAAGAAAATCACCTTGTGTTTAAGTAGATAATTGTGGTGTCTCAATCAGCTTAAGCGCGCCTCAACTAATTTTACAAGATACCTGCTAATCTATTACCGCCTTACCTGATAACTCACTACAACAAGAAAAGGGCTTTAGCGGCAACAACAATTGCAGCTATATTGAACTCTCAAATTGGCAGACACGTAGGCACTTCAACTTTGAGAGTGCATATCCGATACCGGCGTGATATATAAATTTTGGAGGTGCCTCGATGATCATTTTGCTGTTGCAATTGAGACAAAATACAGTGTCTCATTTCACCTATTTTCCACTGGAAGGAAAGAAAATTAAGTACTACTATTAGAGTAGCTTCCAAGGTAGATGAAGGGTGATCAAATGTGTATACATGTAATAAGAAGCAACCACTGAAGGAAACAGTAAACATTACATTTGACATATACTTTCTTAGGAGGAACAACAAAAAAGTTTCAGACTTTTGCACAAGAAGATTTATTTCCCAAAGCAAATGAAAGCAAATAAATGGTGTAAAGGGTTGACCATAAATTAAAAGAGGGTGCGGACCAAGAAGGAGCCGAGGGTATATTGGAAACAACCTCTCTACCTTCCAAGGTAGGGGTAAGGTCTGTGTACACTCTACTCTATCCTCCTTAGATCCCACTTGTGAGAATATACTAGGTATATTGTTGTTGTGGGACGAGAAGGGAAACTAAGAAACTCCGAGGTTTAACTACAATCCTCAATGTAAGTGGGGATCAAAATACCCTGTGCGCACCCAAAGGGTAACGGCTGCGGGTTTCCCTTGTCATAAAAAAAAATATCAAGAATCACAATAATGTCTTAACAAGCAAAGACGGTGCCCTTGACAACTATCACACTAAGCACTTGTAGTTTTTAGAACACACACCCGAGGTGTCAGTAAATTTTTAGTTTGAATAAGAGAAACAAACACTAAATTAGCACAACTCAATGAAAATCAAAGAGCAAACCCCCGAAATTTTACTTCAGCAGCAAAGTCACAGATGAAATTCACCAAAAAAGAAAAGGGAAGAAGGACAAGAAGAGACCAGCATGCAAGAAAGCTAGAAAAGTAGAGCCCTCATGCATATTTACCATGATAAGATTTCCCTACAGCTAGAAAAGGACTTCGTAAATAACGATCAATAAAAAAAACTACAGCTTCTTGATAAGAACTGGAATTTCGGCCATCTAATCAAAGGTAAGTCAAACCAGCGAGTTTCAAATTCAGTAAAGCAGACCTGTGAGGTTCAAAGATCACTAGACACTTCACACTCGTTTTGAACTCGGCAATTTTGAGCTGTGATTCTATTTTGAACATTAAGAATACAAAGTTTGAAGATCTATATAGTCAGAAACATACCTCCAATTAGCGGTCATCTTCATCAAGTAATTTCCTATTGAAGCAAAGGGTGGAAGGGAGGTCATTGTAACCAGTCATCGCATTACTTCCCTATCATGGATGACGTTGACAGAGCTCAGATACACTAAAGTAATACACTTGGAATCACGTCATTGCAAAGAAGACCTCCTAAGCTTTTACTTCTTCCATCCAACTGCAACCAGGCAATTTGTTGTATCCCTTTTCTTCAACACCTTTTCTCAACCTCTCAGCATCATCCCACCTTCCTGAAGAAGCATAAATATTTGCAAGAAGAGAAAGATATCCAGAACTGTCAGGTTCCAACTCAATACAACGTGTCGCTGCAATCTCTCCAAGCTCTAAATTGTTATGCAAACTGCAACCAAGAAGCAATGCACCCCACACACCAGCATGAGGCTGTATTGACATGCTTTTAATCAACCCATGTGCTTCTTCTAACCGCCCTGCCCTACTTAAAAGGTCAACTACTATAGCATAATGGTCAACTGAGGGAGAAAGACCATACTTCTGTAAGGAAATAAAACAACGGTATGCTTCTTCTACCATTCCAATGTGACTGTAGGCAGTCAATATCCCTGTGATTGTGACTATGTTTGGGTTAATTTCAGCATTCATCATCTCATCAAACAACTTGATGGCATCATTAGCCCTACCATTTATTCCACATCCCAGTATCATGGCAGTATATGCTACCAAATCTTTCTTTTTCAAGCCATGGAACAGCTTGTGAGCTTTATCAATACTTCCACATTTTGCATAAAGGTCAATCAAACTAGTGGCCAAGAAGTCATCCATTTGAATTCCAGTTTCATGAATGAACGACTCGATCCAAGAACCAAACTTTAGATCTCCTAGCTGAGAACAAGCAGAAATAGCACTTGCCAAAGTCATTTCATCAGGTTGCAAATCTAATCGAAGCATTTCATTGAACAGCTGCAGAGCCTCTTTTGCCCGGCTGTTTTGAGCATAACAAGCTATCATGGAATTATATACTAGTTGATCTTTCTTATGTAATTGTCCAAAGAGTTCCTCAGCAGATTCAACATCTCCACTTTTTGAGTATCCCGAAATCAATATGATATATGAAACATTGTTCTTTTGGTCCATTGCCTCAAAGAAACTACGTGCTAATTCTATCTTCCCACAGTCTATATATCCTCTAATCATTGCATTCCAAGAGGCAGAACTTCTCTCTGGCATCTGTCTAAACAATGCATATGCCCGCTCTATATTCCCCATCCTCGCATACCCAGAAACCATGGAGTTCCACGAAATAACATCTTTCTCCGGCATCTCATCAAAAACACTTTGTGCCATTGTTAAGTCACCAGATTTTACATATCCACCTAGCAATGAATTCCACGATACTATATTTTTCTCAACCATCTCATTAAATATGCTTCGGGCAAAATCCATATTACCTACTTTCGAGTAAAAATCTACTAGAGCTGTCTGCACATAAACAACATTACAAAAACCATACTTATAAACTTGTGCATGAATCGATATCCCACCAGACCTATACAAAATCCTTGCACAAGCCTTTAAAGAAGACGATACAGCAAACGTGCTCGGACTAAGTCCACATCTCTGCAGTTTTCCATATAAATTAACAGCCTCCCTGAACTGACAATGCCTAGAATAGAATCGGATGGTAGACGCCACCGAGAAGACATCTAAATTTTGCACATGACTGAGGACTAGTTTAATATAGTGTGAGGTATAATAAGAGTAACTACTTGCAGAGTTGATTATCTGCTGAACTAGCAAGGACTCAAGATCAAAAAGACCATTAACAAGTATTGCAGCATGGATTTGCTTTGATTGGTTGATTGTCATACGCTTAGCCAACAATATAGCAACTTTAGACGCCAACATCGCTAAACATTTAGGGTTTTGGGCAACAAATGCCCAAAATCACAACTACGAAAGCAGAAAATTCATAGTAGTAATTACATGTTCCGAATAATGTAAATTACTTACATTTTTAGTTCATCTCTGCCTTGTTGCTTCTCGGAATCTGCAATAAAATTGTCAAATAACATTGTTGCAGATCTTGATTATCAGATCTGTATTTGGAGCTGTCTGTAATGGCGGAAACGTGATGGGACTGAAATCGGGTCAAAACGACCCGGATAGAGGTTGAAGATGAACTCTGGGTTCCAAAAATCTAAGGCTATAGTTTTGGGCTTAAATTACGCGAGCAAACATATAGCAAACACAAAATTCATATTTGTATGCTATAACAAAGTTTGCATAATTGCGCTCCATAACAAACATAAATATGTATATTTCGCTATACATATACAAAAGAAAGCAGTTGTATAATCTGTTTTGGTATACATATACAAAAATATCAATTGTATAAAGTGAGAGAGGCGAGTGAGCGAGGGAGATCTGGGAGAGTGGCGAGCGAGATCTGGGAGAGGGGAGAGAGGGGAACGAAAATATATGTATATATACAATTTTCACGCATTTTATACATTTGCGTTTTTGTATAAAGCGAGATCGGCGAGTGAGAGAGCGAGATCTGGGAGAGTGGCG